GCTCTGAGATGCAACTCAGAGTTGTTCTGTTTACCAAATATTCTTCAATTGCTTAGTGGGAGTACTTAACCGCTTAACCTGGTTAAGAGGTGGCTTTACCTGTGACGTGGGTGGCTTGGGACTGCCCAGCATGGTCAGGGGAGTGGAACATTCATTTGGATTCACCTCCTCTAGAAGGTTCAGCCCCTCCTCTGCCCTGCGTCGGGTTTTTACCGCCAAAGGTTTGTGTTAAAACCCACAAACGGCCTCATCTAAACTCTCCCGTCATGCTGACCTGTTCCCTGACATGTCAGAGAAACAAGCGTCCCCCCTTTCCCTTGGAGGTTCTGACGAGGCTCCACCTCCAGCGCTGTGTCCACCCCCTTGCCTTCATTTACTTGCCAAGTGACTCTGTGGATCAGGAACAAGGTCCCCCTTTGACCGTGCCTTGCTCCCCCCCCCCTTGTGGACGGACCTCCGTTGCACCCCTTTACTCCGACCCTGCCTTGCCCCGGCTAAAACAAAACGCCTTTTTTTTGGTGCGTCGAAAAATAAAATCATTCTATAAAACAATACATTGAGAATCATGCTAATATGTCCCTGGGATGCCCTTGAACCACAGAACTGTGCACAAGAAGTTATTATTGTGTCTCATCTCTCATCTGCCGAAGCGTTGTTGTTCTGTGCATGATTCATCGCTGGACATAAAGTTCTGTTGTCAGGCCGCAGCCAGCGCTAATGCTGGGGGCTCCCGTCCAGCCATCGTCTGAAGGGGACCCATTGTTCCTTTGCGTCGAATCTGAAGCACCTCTGTATGGCCGGCCTGCTCTGGCCCTCTCTGAGCGCTTTAATAACTCTGAGAGAGCACAGACAGTTTGTTCGAGGATTTGGGGGGAGAAAAATGGGAAGGACTTGTGATTGCTCTCTGCTGCCTCCTTGTGACGGTTCTCAGATGCAGTGGGTACGGTACACTTTGTAAGTTGTCAGTAATGGCATTCTCGTTGGGCTCATTGGGTATTAATTGTTCTGTTTTTTTCTCTCTCTCCTATTTGTTTTTTTTTTCCAGCTGAACTGGAGTTTGTTCAGATAATTATTATAATTGTGGTGATGACCGTGATGGTAGTCGTGATCATTTGTCTGCTGAACCACTACAAGCTCTCCACCTGGTCCTTCATCAACCGGCAGAGTCAAGCCAGGAGGCAAGAGGACAGTCTGCAACCGGTGAGTCCAGCTGTCCCACCCAGCAGTGTAGAAGGCAGCTCTGAGACCCAGTCACGTGACTGACCGATGGGAAACCTAAAATGCACGTCCTGGTTAGCCCTGCCCAGTTAGCCTAGCTTGGCTCGAGTAATGCCATTGAATCCATTATGATAAACCCCACCTAAAATTTACAGGGACCAAGCCCTCCAGCTGTTAAATGTGGGAGTCCGTTTAACTGAAAGGCTGTTATGTTATCTTACTGACCAGTCAGAAGCACCTTGTGGCCTGGCCCACCCAGCGAGGCATCGCATTGGGCAGAGAGCTCCCTAACCCAACCCCCCTGTTTTTTTCTTATGTAGGATGGGTGTCTGTGGCCACCAGACAGCGGGTCGCGACAAGGGGCTGCAGAGGTAAGTTATAGGGTATGTCCCCCAACCCCATCCGCGTGTCACTAATCCTCTGCGTTTGCGCCAATGACGTCTACATGGGGACCAGAGTGTTTGGTGACGTCGCCTAGTGAGGCCACACCAATGGTGGGAATTCGCATGAGCTTCAGCTTCATACATTCCAATAACTGATGCCCATTGGCTCCTGGAATTTGGCCACTTCTGCATTCTTTCCTATTAGTTTCTTAATGATAATAAAAAGTAGCTTGAGTACATAAAATACAACTCAGGCCATAATTATGTTAAGACATTATTGGGGAAGCAGTAGAATTTACCTTACTGATTTGTGTTTGTTCTTGAGGATAATTTCTGTCTCTGTGGAAATTATGTGAAAGCGAGTTGATCTGCATGTAATTTACAGACTTTTACTTAAATTTACGAAACTTGACAAGAGCACAGTCCCACTGAGACGTCTACGGGTCTCCCTCTGGAAATCCACGGTGGTGGTTCTGATTGAGGTGCCGTTTGCCCGTCTCTGCAGGTGACATACGCCCCCCAGACTCGGGAGAGGTTCACCACGCCCTCGTTTATGCAACGGGACAGATTCAGCCGCTTCCAGCCCACCTACCCTTACCTGCAGCACGAGATCGACCTGCCGCCTACCATCTCGCTGTCGGACGGCGAGGAGCCCCCTCCCTACCAGGGCCCCTGCACGCTGCAGCTGCGCGACCCCGAGCAGCAGATGGAGCTCAACAGGGAGTCGGTGCGAGCTCCGCCCAACCGGACCATCTTTGACAGTGACCTGATCGACGTGCACAGCGCTGGAAGCGGGCCACGCCCACCCAGCAGCAACTCGGGCATCAGTGCCGCCCACTCCGGCAGCCACGGCAGAATGGAGGGGCCCCCACCCGCCTACAGCGAGGTCATGGGCCACTACCCTGGCTACGCCTTCTTTCTTCACCAGCACGGCAATAACCCCCCCACACAGGGGGCGGGACGCAGGACAACCCGGCAGGGCGACCCCGAAAGCACAACGGCTCCCGCCAAGGCCAAGGACGGCCAGCGGGAAGACCTGGTGTGAGGTGGGCTGGGTGTGCGGGGCTACGCAAGTCTGGCCCCGCCCTTCACAAAAAAAGGGGATGTGGTCACTTTCTCAACACTCCCATGCACAACTGAATACCGACCTTCTCTACAAAGACAACAGACAAGAAGTAAAGGAACCAAGACTACAATTTTTTTTCTGTTTTGCTTTTTTTTCCTAAATTTTTTTTTTAAACGTTGCTAAAACTGTGGGGGGGCGCACACCGTGTGGAGTGTTCAGATTCATAGCTGTTTTTTTTTGTTTTTGTTTTTGTTTTTTTTTATTCTTCACGTGAGTATAAAGATTATTAGCACAGATTCTAAACAGCCCCCCCCCCAGGACTTGTTTTAGTTTTTCTTTTGTTTTTTTTCTTCTTCTTAAGACCGGGATCTGTGCACAAACAAGATGAACCAGTGGAAATCCAAATCTGAGTGCCAAGATTCAAGTGGAAGTTTAAAAAAAAAAAATCAATGGGGAGAGGACTTGCTTAATGCTCAAAAGAAATGTTTATCTAAAAGTTGCACTATCTTATCGTTTAAAGAAAAGAGGGAATTGCTGTATGTATTTTACTCTGTGCGTGTGTGTGTGTGTGTGTGTGTGTATGTGCGTATGTGTGTATTTGTCCTTTCATTTGTGGATTGGAATTTTGGCTCCAAAGATTTGCAGTGGGAGCAATAGGGGTTTATCCTTTTCCTTTTGTAGAAAACACGCAAGAGACTCGGATCCAGCCTAAAATCCTCATGACTCAAATTGTTAGTACAGGGACATTTAGATTTTTTTTTTTTTTTTTTTTTTACTTTCACATTCTCAGAGACACAGTATGAAATCTCTGCCCTCATTCTGCTGGATGAAAGGCCTAAAGAATAATTGTGCTGGATGGGGGTTTAGCAGAGGTGTTGCTTGTTGTCTAGGTCACCGTTTCCCAACCTGGTACTCAGGGATCCTCAGACAGTTCACGTTTTTGCTCCCTCCCATACAGTTCACGTTTTTGCTCCCTCCCAGCTCCCATGCAAAAACGTGAACTGTCTGAGGATCCCTGAGGACCGGGTTGGGACATACCGGTGTAGGACATCCATGTCCTACCGTAGATGACTGAGGGCCATCCGATATGAACATACCAGTTGCCATTGAACATTAAAAAAAAAAAAAAAATGTCCATGATATTCAAACCCTCCCTCTATTCCTGTCCGCCCTTCATCCACCAGTATTCTTGAGGCAGCCTCTCCTCGGGTCATTTTCACGTTTCCGAGACCTGCACCCCACAGCCCCTCGCTCTCCCCACACATGCTCGGCTCATCCCGTACGCCCAACATGTGCTTGTCACACGGACGGCTCGGGGAACTCCGGGGAACCGCTCTTTCGCCCTCGGCTCATGCCGCGTGTCCCGAGGAGTCCCCGGTTGGTATAATCAGGTTTTGGACTGTGGTCAAAGACAAGGGCTATGTGACGGTGGTGTCTGTGACCTTCTGACCTAGCCTTTCTTCACGCGTCGTTGCCTTCTCTGCTATCGCTATATTACTGACAGTATTAAAGCTAACCCCAGCTTTTTATGATGTGTACCACCTACGTAACCCAGCACAGACGTTTGATTAAATGTTTTGTTGAATACAGCAGTGCTTCTCGATCCCTTTAAAAGGACCCCAGGGGGCCTCACATCGGGGCCCCGCATGCCTTCGTATGGTAGCCTTTGTGGGCCCCGGTACCTTGAGTGTTGGTGACTGTTCGGCTTGCTTTGGTCATAGCGTGGTGTCCCCGAAGGGGGGAAGGAGGGGGCCCTTGCTTGACGTGGCCCACAGCCCTTCTAATTGAACTGTACGTTTTACTTCCTTTCGAGCTGCTGTTGTGCGTATTTGATTCATCGCTTTTGATACATCGTGATAATCTGGCTTCAGAGGGGTCACGGAGGTCATTTGAGGGAGCTTTCCAGTGGAACGCTGGTGCGGTTCAGTCATACGGATGACAGGAAACGGCTGCCGTGGGCAGTTCGGCCGCACCGATTGGCCGTTAACACGCTGACTATCCAGTGTATCGGCGTTTGGCTGTAATGCGACAGGATTCCCCTGGATCTGATGTTTTTTTTTTTTCCCTGAAGGGATCCCCCTTCCTCTTCCTGTGTGCTTGAATGGGAAAAGATAGGAAAATCAATAGCAAGCTTCCCTGGCCTAGACTTTATTTATACAACTTTAGAGACTATTTGGGAAGCAATGAAGATGAACTGTGTTCTTGGGTTATGTTTTAATTTCCTTTTATTTCACTTTTTGTAACAACTTGGATTCTAGAATGAAAGCCTTTCGTTGCTATTGTGACGCACTTACTCCCTGCGTTTTGATTGGCTCCGGAGAGCAGTCCGTTCTCTTATTTCTATATCGCTGCTGCTACTGCTGCTACCGCCGCTGCTGCTGCTGCCACCGCCGTCCGTCCGTCATTTTCCGTGTCACTTTTCCCTATATGGATTGTTGCATGATAGACTCGTTTTTTTAAATGTCTGAAGCCGTTTTCGTTCCTCTTCCGTTTGTTACATTTTAACGTCTGTTTGTTTCTCTACGTTTGCTTGTTTCTGTCTGCTCTCGTAGCTAAACGAGGAGGAAAAGAAATGCTCATTTACTGTTTTCTATGAGGAGGTTTGGATGTTACTATTATGTGAGTAAAAAGGTGCCTAATGTTCTCGTTTGAGCAGATATAGGAACCCAGTTGCACTCAAGCCCCGACCTTCGTTGTGCCTCACTTCCAACGGTGCTTTTTTCAGTAGTCTGTCTCTTTTATGTTTATTTGTAAGGTGCTGTATATAACTTGAATATATTATGCACATATCCTACCCAATGGGTAGAAACAACATAAAACGGACATTGTGAATAATGTAATATAATGTACAGATGATATAAAATTTTAACATGGTGGCATCCAGTTTCCGAATGCCTTCAAAATGTGCTTTTGTCTTTTTGTAAACAAGAAAGGGTTTGCAAAGTAATGCTTAAATGATTAAAAATAAATACAAATTGCTACTTATATTATTTTCCTATAAATAATAATCTGTTACGGTAAGGATGAAACTAATGTTCTGAATTTAGGATGTTATTGAACAGATTTTTTTTTTTTTCTTTCCTTAAGAAAAGAATTGGTACCACAGTGCTCACTGTTCGCTTTAGTGACCCGTCATTTGGTCTGGTATTAAACACATTTAACCAGAGCGAAGTCAGTTTTTATTTTACCTGAACATGTGAAGTTAGGGGGTGTCCTGCTTTGTGAACCGCGTGTGGAGGTGACAGACTGGGTGACTTTTTAAAGCCAGCTTGTTACATTAGACTCCCGTACCGATGCGTCGGTACATGGGGATGGAAGTCTTTCGAGTTTGCTTGCCGATAAAAACAAGGCTGCTCTTGGGCTTCTGATATTTAACGCCTTTCGGGCACCGGGGCGTCTGCTCAGGAAAGGTTTCACCACAACAGGCTCCCATCGCCAGCCATTTCGCATGGAATCGTCTCGCCTACTGCACAGATGGCCACCACCGCCAGACCGTGTGAATTTTGATTCGGTCTAGCGCTCAGCTCCCATCCCACAGCCCCCAGTAGGCGTTTCCCAAGCAGCTGAACTGGGACTTTCAAAATTATTATTATTAAATAACAAGGTGTTCACTCCACTGACAAATGGTCAGTGTGAACGTACAAATTTGTAGCATAAAGTTTATTTGCAAGATCTGAAAGGCCAAGAAAATACTCATCCCTACACATTACAGGACACGTGGCACTATTTTGAAATGAATTCCCATCTGCCCTAAACTCGCGCCGCGCATTTATTCCCCGAAAAAGTGAAAGCGAGACACTTTCTGTTTGGCGACTTTGGTGCAGGATGCCTGATTGGTGACAGATTCCTCTGATTCCTACGCTGAATGTTACTGGTGTTTTCCCAATTTCCACTCGATGATCTCTGAGCAAATTGTTTTATCCCCCCCCCCCACACACACTTTCCTTTTAAAAAAGCACACGACTGATCAGGATGAAGCACTAAACTGTACACTGTGGTAAGAAAGGCATGTAACAAACCAGGATGTAACTGGACAGAGAATGCAGCTCAGTCTGTTTTTCTATTTTATACATATTCAGTGTATGTGGTGTGTAGGAAAAGCATTTTAATTGTAGTCTCATTCATTTATATACTAAGACTCCACTGTACAGTATCGTTGCGCATGTTCATTCTTATCTCTAGGTAATGTACATAGCAATGCCATTTATTTTTTACTTTTGTTTTGTCTTTTTGTTGTTTTTCCAGTGCACCAAATGGGCAGTAAGTCGCCATCTTGAGACGTTTATTGTAATTCTTGTTCCAAGGGCCCTTTGACCCCCCTCGCCCCCCCACCCCCCGCACTAGCTTACAGAACTAACTTTGGCTCAAACAGAATTGGTCACCACGTTCCAACATTTATCACCAGGCATCAGAAAAACAAATAAATAAAACACAGACCATAGCCGTGTTCTGTTCTTACGATGTCACAGCAGTCACATACTTCAGTCTTGACAGTTTTTACATGACTACTTCCATCATGGACTTTGTAACATTTGATTGCTTTATTTACAAAACTTGTCTATATATATCTATATATAAATAGATATCGATATATATAGATGTTTATAAACTGTCGTGTACTTCGCCTTTTTTAATTTAAGCAATTGTGATGTAATAGGTTTTAGGCCTAAGGTCTGTTATTGCAATACTTTTACAGAAAAAAAAATCAAAAAATGTTGCTCTAAGTGCTGTTGTAGTCAAAGATTTTATGCTTGTACTTAATGCTGTGGTCAAACTGCAGCAAAATTATTAAAACTTAAAAAAGAAACCAATAACATGGGCTGCTTCTGTTTGGGGGTGGGGCTGACCTATTCGGATGCTGAATTGTTGGTCTTTTTTTGTGGTGTTTCTGATAATTTATGATCTGTGGATTATCATGTGGGAACACTTGGATGAAACCGGTGAGTACAATTGAAAATAACTCTTAAAGGTTTAGATGGTTCGTTGCCAGAAAATGTTACATTGACATTTTTTGCAGTTAACATATTTATTCATTAAGGATGTGAATCTTAAGTGCTCTGTGATCAAGTTTTGGAAATTACCACACTTGAAGAGATGTGATAAATAAAAGACAGGTTCTAGCAGAGGTAACGCAATACTGTGGCTCAAAAACTAAGGAAGGTTGATCGAACATCTGGGACGGGATTTGTGCAACATGGCTTAGTGACCGGAAGACATGGCCTGTTCTTGAGGAGTCTAACCCGAGACATTTCAGATGCCAGATTCTGGTGATTTGTTCAGGTCATGGAAGATGGACGTGTTTAATCCTCCTTAACCTCAAAGCACGAGAGGACAGCTTGTGGCCTGTAAATCAGAGCACCTTCATTCTGACAGAGATGCTCATCCCTTGCCGGTGAATCTGACATGTGGCATCTTGGTAACAAGGGCAGGGGTCCAGATATGCAAGACCTGAAAGGAGATCTAACGGTCTCAGGTCACAGCAGGAACACAGACGGACAGAAACCTGCCAGATGTTACTGCTGGAATGGAGACCACAGTGACGGGGTTGATTGATATCTCTCCACCCTTTACTGTCCATTCTGTGCTCCAGGGCCCAACAAAGCATGCCACCAGTTTCAGGAAAGTGGACCAGCTGCTGAATCTGGATCTTGGGGCTTCCCATGAAAACACCTTCAGCTGATGCTCACTCCACTGCTACCCAGTGCCCCGGCATGAGTGTTACTCATTTGAAACATGCATCCATCAGTCGCTTGTTTCCACTTCCTCCCAAGTGGATGTCACTTCTGTGAAGCCACAGGTCAGATTCATATTTATAAGTCTGGCTGCAGTTTTCAAGCATCACCCTCCTGCCGGCTCATCCAAGGCTATATAGATATAACACCTTAAACCCTGCTGTCAAACCCGCCACTGGCGTTTCAGAACTGCGCAGTTGGAATGTTGGCACTGCTGCTTAGCGGCCTGTTTTTACCGCACCTCCGGGTCTCTGCTCGTCATCAGTGGAAGGTTTTTGGAGCAGAACATTACCTCCATTGCTCACCTGGCTCCATAGTCCAGTGATCCCAGACAGCACATGTGGGGATACAGTCTGGAGCTGCTTTTGAAAAGATTTCATAACCTTAGTGCAACAGCTTTCCCAGACTCTTGGTAGGCGCACGGCACACACTCACACCAAACAATTTCATTCCAATTCACTCAGACTGTTTGCATTACCATCTCCTTTAATATTTAACCTGCTCGCAACCTGGCATGTTTGTATTCCAAAGCTTAAAGTAAGATGCATGATCTCTCTCTTTTTTCTGAACCTTTCAGGGGGACGTGCTGTCTCAGTGTCCTACACTCTTAACCCATCAGGTTAGCATTCTGCAACCAGGGTAGAACGAGGTGTGCAGTTCAGAAGTGTGAATGCAGTATCGTATCAGGAAAGAAAGTCAAACACACTGAAAATGCACAACTGCAGTTTAGTGCTTTTGTTTCTGCACTACATAAATGAAGTACTTTAAGAAACAGTATATTGCTTAAATTTTATGCACAACTGATTACAACATATTGGCACAATTCTGATCTCTTTAAAAGGTAGCCATCACTTTGAACAAATTATTTTATTTTTAAGCTATAAACTACTTTCAGTCCCTCTGTGTTCCATTGCATTTTTTTTTTTGTTTGAGACTCAGTGGTCGAATCTCAGAATGGATTCATGTTACCCGGGAGACTTGGGGACACACAGCTAATCGGCTTTCTTTCGCAAGGAGATCCGATCTTTGGTTTCCTGCAGCTTTTCGGAAAACTTGTCCTTGGTCTCTTCCATCTTCTCTGAAAGGCGTTCTTTCGTCTCCTCCATTCTTTCTGAGATAAGCTCCTTCGTCTCCTCCATCTTTTCGGTGAGCCGCTCCTTCGTCTCCTCCATTTTCTCGGAGAACCTCTCCCTTGTCTCCTCCATCTTGTCCTGGAGATAGTCTTTGACAAGTGGTGGGGTAGAGAGGTACCCGTGTTTCCGCAGGTATTTTACGGAAATGGAGGTTCCGGCCAACGTCACCGTATACCTGGCTGGTGTAGCGATCTCCAAAAAGGAACAAAAAGTCAAATTATGTAACAACTTGAAAATCAACTGCCTTTTCCCCTAAGGAAGTTCAGATATGGCAAATAGCACTGGAAATCCACCTTACTTTGTACAAAGCATAGGCTGTGATGGCGTAGCCACTCTGGGAATCCCTCAGATAGCTAACAATGTTTTCAGGAAATCCGGCATACTCCAGAAACTGAACCACATTCACTCCCCTACAGAAACAGACGGAGATGAATCGCTTCAAGATACTTGCCACAATTCAGGGAAGTTAATTATTATATAGTCATAATATAGACAAATATGACTTATATATATATAAGCAAATGTTCACGTGTTAACTGGCCAAAATTAATAACTAAATTAGCACTTTGTAATGCAATCTGGTCCTAAAACAAAGAAAAATCGGTGGCATTAAGAAATCTTGGACGTAAAAAATAACAACCAGACCAACAAGAGTGCAGCATGGCGACTCAGTGGGTAGTGCTTTCGCTTTAGAAACTCCAACCCTGGCGGTGTAATCTCACTTCCACTGCGTGTGTTTGCACGTGTCACGTGGCCTTCCTCCCGCAATCTAAAGACATGCAGTTAGGCTAACTGGTATCTAATCTGACTGATTTTTGTATTTACGTCCTGCAGTGGACTGGCATCCTGTCCAGCGTGACCCGTCGTGACTCTGACCAGTATACGCAGGTGGAAGAATGAATAAGCCACTTATATAGCAAGGATATTTTGTGCTTGAGAACAGATTAAGTTAACTTACTTCATAGCAGCGTAGTAGAAGGAGCCAAACCACACACAGGACGTCAGAAGATGCACCGGAATCATGACTTTGCCGTATTGTTTGAAGGTCTTCTTGAACCTCTGTACCAGACCGATGGATCTGTCCTGGAGGGGGTCTACTTCTGCGGAAGAGCCAGGTATCTGTGGCGAGTCTGACTGGTAGGTGGGGTCGGCCCCAGCCAGACTCGTGGGCGGAGCAGGCTGGGGTTCTTCTTTAGGGTCAGGGCTGCGTTTTCCTGCGGCCCTGACTGTCACCGATGTGTTCAGCCAACACGAGCATGGCGCCCGTCTCCTTAAAGCTGAGGCTACAGCGGACGGCTCACGGGCAGCTGGGCAGATGACCACAGACCGCATGGCGGCCGTCTGCCATAAGATCTTCTGGGAAAGGAGACGTTGCATCACCGCTCCCACTGGATATCACCTCCTGAGGATCCAGGGAGGGGCATCATAACATATACTGGCAAAGTCTTGATCAGACAGCTTCAGCTGATTTGTTGCATTTCATTTGTTAGTCTGCAATACAAAAGTCTTAAAAGGCTTAATAACCTGAATCTCATGTTAGAAAGACACAAGAAAGCCTCAAAGGCATACAGGTATTATTTCCAAGGCTATATTCTGCGGACATAGTTTTTAAGCTGCCCGATGCAGGATTGACAATCCCACACGCATCTGGTGTGACAGTCACGCATTCTGACTTTCAGACTCACACAAGAAATCTTACGGCCAATTTATTCCATTATAAACCTAAAATTAGCTACATCTAATGCGTCACTTTGCAAACCCTACAGACTATTTACAAGGTAATAGATCTATTACATACATATAAATGCGTACGCATGTGTGTGAAGACTTATCTTGAATTGAAAATCTCACGCCAGGTCACTGAACGGTCACGTGGTCCTCCGTGGAAACGTTACCGCACGCTTTAGCGCCGCGCGCTTCCACAACGCTGAAACGCACGCGCCTGACCGCGTCTTCCCGCATGGGACCATTTTCGAAAGTTAAGGGTTAAACGAAATACAGCCGGTATTGCGTGCATGCATGACAAAGTACTGTCACAAACATAAAAGCACGTTACCTTAAATAATATTAATGGGCAGTGCAGTCAGTGCAGATAGTGCAGATGCTGGAATGAAAAACAAAATATGCTTAACACCAAAGCGGTAAGGAGTTGACTAACTTCTAAAAAACGTCCTAATCAAACACAAATGTAGTAACAAAAATGAACTGAGACAAAATTTATTTACCTTTTCTATAAGAAAAAAATATGTGAAATATTTACTCTTAATATTACTGGGTCGGAGCCTGCGATACTCCGTGATCTACGGCAATTTAGGTTTAGTTGCTAGATACTACCGTAAATGTGATGTTCTGTCGTTGGTATTAATATAAGGTCCTTCTGAAGGACAGCAGAAGACCAACACGTAGCTCCGGCTCCTAACTTATCCATATTAACATTGTGGAAAGTAGCTGGAGTCCAGTTTCAGTAACAGCTGAGGCCCAGTTCTGAACACCTGCCAGTTTGTCGGGCTGAGCAACTACCAACCTAAGAAAAGTATGCGAAACGCCCATAATGCAGTATTAGGGGTTTACCGTCTGTGATTTTTCAGTGCAAAACATCCTCACTTTAGTAAATCCACTCGACTTCACGAATTCCCGGTTCTTCTTCGTCCATTATAAATACAGTTAATAGTAGCTAACTTAAACAATGAAGCATGTCCCTACTGTCATTCAGATAACTGCTGCTAGGAAAGAGTTCCTCCCACATGGTAAAAATTGGATGTGCAATGTACTCGGGAAATGTAGTCTACATTTCCTATTTAAGCACGTGTTTACTTCTCCTGTTGTAACTCCAATTCCCAGCATGCATAGCGAGCATGCCCAAGAAAGGAAGGAATAATACAGGAAGTACTGCTAAGCATGCTTTGCCACGGTGCTTGGATAATCACGAAGCAGTTCAAGCACATGTTGTTACTTATTTGTTGACGCATTAGGAATAGCTATATTACAGTGGGTTTGCAGCTATTGGCAATGTTTTGGCTTATTAGTTCACTGTTATTTGGTTTGCTTGTTCTGTCAAACTAGCGTTACCAGGATGCCATCCTGGGATGGGCATTTTAGTTTGTTGGGTGGGCATCAGTGTTCGAAATGTTTTGGGGGGGTCAATGGTCTTGGGGGGTCCCTGGTGGGCAGTCCAACCATGACGTGAAAGTCTATAAAGGTTACACCAATGTAGGGTCTGGTTCTCTAACCTTATTTACAGTGAGAGCTACTTCGAAAAAAAAATATACATGTTATTAATAATAATAACTAATAATAATAATAATAATTACGGGAGCTACGTATACTACAAGATTATATTCCGGGGGCCAGTGAATCATACTTTCTCCTTTATCCTGAATTTAAACCCCTGTTGATTGGTTAAATTTGGTCTACCCACCCGTAACCACGCCCCTGCCGTCACTCGTAAGTAGAAGGTCATGCGTATTTGCTCATCCTGCTGCCCAGTTTTAGTTTGTAGATCGTCTGTGTAATACAGACCACCAATTTCACCAATGTCTTTGAAATAGCGTTGTGATTAAGATAAAAAAAAAAAATTGAATCATCATCATCAATTATATTGATGTTTTTACAGGCAAAACTACTGATAATGAATGTTTTGAAAATAACACAAAATAAATTGTACCAAATTATGTAGAATGCAGTTGTAAAATATTCAATAAGTCATAAGGAACCCAAAACAGAAATCTCTTGTATTTGCTGCATGGGCAAATCATTTTTCAAAAATAAACAATTTACAACAAAAAACGCTTGCAGATCAAGTTAAATATTAACATATGAGTGCGTCTTTGAGATCACTTACACATCCCTCTCATCCACTGTACCTGCAAGCCCATGCCGACTTCCTGCCTGTGTTTCATTTGAAGGTGCCAGCATTGCCTCCCAGAGCTGATTGAGACCTTTTCTTGATGATGCTCCACAGGGTTGTGGTCAGGAGATGATGGTGGCCACACCATGTTTTTTCTCCATTTACACCCATAGCTGCCAAAGAGGCAGCCTGGGATGGTACATTCGTCTGCATGAATTTAATAATTTCATTGCGTTAAATGTGATGCTTCTTTCTAAACCAGTGCAGGAAACGGTCAGTTAAGAATTCCGCATATTCTGTGGAGGCAACCCCTGTGACTTCGCCACCTCCTTGGTGACGTTGCAGTCTCGTTGGGACATGGTGGCCGGTCCCCAGCCATCCTGAACTCACGGCACGGCGTTCGTCGGTGAATGCAACTGAAAATGAATCTTCTTGTATTTCTGAGCCGAATATGAACATTTATCTCTGTCAGCTTTGGTTAGGGGTGACCAGAATACATCTCTATGCACCACTACCAGTCTCTGGAGGAGCCTGCATTGTGTGGTTCTTGGGACTCCCAGAGACACCAGCAGCTTCAAATACCCGTTTGCTGGTCAGCTTGCTCTCTTTTAAAGCTGTCCACTTAATAACATTAATTTATCTGACAGAAACTTTCCTTAATAAACCTTTATCTGACTAAATTTATCTGCTCTCTGAGTCACTCACAAATCTCTTCGATGATAGAGATCAGTTTTCGTGAAATATCAGTTGTTTTCATGTTTACAAGATATTGCACCATTTCACACTTTTCTTCTTCAGATAGCTCCCCATATTGCATGAGAACTGTGACTTGCTCAATAATGTGGAACCGCCTTTTTAAGTAGGTTTCCCTTTAATTAAGACTGTCTGACAAACTAATTAACAAACCGGTCTGAGATGGATAGCAGTTGTCTAAAAAGATATGAGAAAATAAACAAACAATAACTTTCATTGTCACTCAAATCCTACGAATATATATCTTCCATAATAATATGGAACAGTCCTAGAAACAAAATGTATGTTTAAGCATTTGCAGAATTGTAGAGAAATACACAACAGTGAATGCATCATATATAGTGAAAATGGAAAGATGGCTTTCTGTTAGAAACCTAAATTCTAATTCAGGAGTCGGTAACCCTGACCCTGGTGTGCTGGGAACCAACAGGTTTTGCCAAACCGGATGAGTTAGTATCTGCCTGCGATCAGGTGTAGTTCATCAGAGATCAAGCAGGATAGAAAACCTGCTGGATACCGGCGTTGAGGATTAGGGTTGCCTACCTCTGTTCTAACTGGGTTGAGCATGGTAACAAAGTGAGCGTGTTTGCTGGGAAGGTCTTCATGGTGCTGTAACCAGTTTATGGTGGGTAGTGTGAGGCTCAGTGGGCTAAGCTTCCGTGCTTGTGATCAGAAGGTTGCTGGTTCAAGCCCAGCCTTGGCATATCTGCGGGTCCTCGAGCAAGGCCCTTAACCCCCAGCTCCCTGGGCACCGCAACAGCTGGTTGCCTTTTGTACTCAGCTTGCTGTTTCCAACAGAGGGCAAGTTCGGGGTAACAGGCGACTGCTCTATGTGGCCAGCTTGCCGTCACCTGCAGAGAGCAAGTTGGGGGAGCTATAAAGAGAATTTCCCCATGGGGATAAAAAGTTTCAATTACTATTAATTGTGACCTGACTCTGGCTAAAAGAGCCACTGTATATAGATGTCAGGTCTCATGGATTTTAGCCCTTTTTGCCTTCCCTCCTCGCCTCTGCAAAACTTTAAAGGTGAACCCCTTTGAAGGTTCACAGTTTTCACCAAATTTTGCAGTGCATCATCTTACTGTTCTCATTGCAGCTGTGTTGACATGTATGACTGTCGTTTTGGCAGACCCCGTGCCGGATGCTCTCGCTGCGGAATAGACAGCTTTCCCATGCGCTCTGTGGGATACAAGGAACATAGCCTGAGAAGTTGTACCGCACTGGAATGAACTGGTTCAAACTGGTGCTTACTTCCTGATTTGCAGGCATTCTTTATGGATGCTGACATCGTATCCCATGATGCACTCTGGCTTATTCGAGCAGACCGATGCAACACAGTGAACTTACTGCACCAGCAAAGCTGAGTTGTAAATATTTCATTCTGAAAGCCAAGTAGGTTGTACCCATTTTTCTAAAATTCTTTTTAAGTAAAAACATTTCCATCCAGGACCCTGGACCACTACAAAATCACCGGTCTGTGTGGTAGCAGATGGAATGAGTTGATGGTAATGAACAAAGAAAATGAATGAAATGCATAGGAGTCAACTTCCTAATTCACTGTACATTCTGGCACTAGCGGCTGCTTTGAAGTATCTCAACCTTTTTGCTATGCAGCTGCAAACCAGCAGAGCGATTTTTTTTTTTTTTGGATCTATATGGAAATTAGGCTGTGTCTCAGTATTTTAAAAATCCCGTCCGCAGCTAATTTGTCCGTGCACTTGGGAGGTTTGCAGAAGCTTCCGTGGTGCGGCTTGTGCCCTGGATGAAGGAGTGAGGCGGCCTGTCTGGGCGACCATAACAGGAGCGTCAAGAATGCGCGGTAGCTGGAGAACGAACGTCTGGTATGATGACTGGGAAGTGAAATGCACTGGTCAAACTGGGCAGATAGTTTTCTTTATTTAATGGTATTACTAGCAGATAATTTAATGGTATTAAATTAGTCGAAGTTTATACCCTGTGAAGTGTGATTTTATAATTGCTAATGGCATTCAAGCCAGCACTGCCTTTTGTTCATCTGGTGTCCATGAAGAAAACCAGTGAAATAACACATATCTTAATATCTCCTTTTCCTGCTCGGTTTCCCGTCTTCCCGCCGCCTGCACTTGGTTTGGCCTTGTGATGCTGTAATTAAAATCTCACTGCTCACTTTGGGTGTCTCACTGAGTCTGTGACACTGAGTCATTAATGAGGCTGTGGATGCCTCGAACCTGCGTGTTTGTGATTGCCCACCCGGTGAACCTGGTCGCCCTGAGGGCTTTGCTTCTATGGGGAATCGTTCTTCTCACTGCTTTGTCGATTATTATTCAATTTTCAATGATTTTGAGTATTATTCTTTTTCGTACGTTCTTTTTGCATTTGTGGGTTTTCCCTTTTGGGGTAAGTGCCGTTCCCATCAGGTTGGATTAATGCATAGAATAATCTAGACTATAGCCTAGGATTCACATACATCTTATAGTTACTGACTTAACGTCTCTCTGTTCAATGATATATGAGCCCCAGACAACATGTATGTTTCTCTACAATTTATAGTGTTATAGTATTTATTGTATGTATAGTATTTACGGTATTTACAGATTTATAGCATTTATTGTATTTGTAGTACAATAGAATTTTTAGCATTATTGAATTATAACATTTATGTTTGCATTATGCTGTGTTGTCTTTCTTGCACTTTCCCTTGCACTTGCACTACCACTATATTCACTGGCAAATATTGTAGCATGAAATAGTTACTCTGTAGTGATGAGTATTCTTAGTACCTTACCTTTCATCATTATTGTTATCCTTAAGTATTGTTACTGTTGCCACTTTCTCTATTCCCTATTATTCTTTTGCATATTCTATCTATCTATCTATCTATCTATCTATCTATCTATCTATCTATCTATCTATCTATCTATCTATCTATCTATCTATCTATCTATCTATCTATCAGAGTGTCTATGCTGATGTCCACCTACACCCCCCAGATACATTAATCCGCTCCAGGTCCTCATGTAGAATATGACTCAGATCTTCTTCCCCCGATCTAAAGTCACGACAATTCACATTGTGTTTAACTTCTTTAACTTCTCATTTTACTTCAACTCATTTCAACTTGCTATGTCTGTCTTCAGCAAATGTGATATTGGTCATTGCTGGTAATTTG